TTCTTTCAAAGAACCAACTTTTGGTTTTGTTGATTCTTTCTATTGTTTTTCTGTTCTCTATTTCATTTATTTCTGCTCTGATCTTTACTATAGCCCTACATTTTTAATTTTTCTTTATCTTTCCCCTTCTCCCTTGTCCTTCTCCCTCCCACCTAGGCCCTGAAGTATCTCCACCCCTTCCTGAGGGACCGAGTTATGCCACCTAGTGAGAGAGGCAGTGTTTTGAAGAATAAATCCTGACATTGAACATCTGTGAGTGAACATCTGAACATGATAACATCAACAACTTAAGTATTACAACACTGTATGTACAACGTATCACTAACGATGAGATGCACCAAAAACACAAAACAAAACAGGTTGTCATAAGTGCATTTCATCATAACTGGAACATGGCCTAAGTCAGGGACTACCTGTGATAGTAATCCACAAAAACCAATCACCAACCACTATTCAACAATTGCCAATCACCATTTTCATGGGTCTCAACCAAGTTTCAAATAAAAATTAAAGTGCTAATGACAGGGCTTAGTTGATCCCACCACCTAATGAATTTTTCATCTCCCGGGTTATGCTCTGATACCTGGAATCAACTTCAAGGCATCCTCCAGGTACTCATCTTCAGTGATGGGGTTTCCATCTATCTTCAACTCCAGGGTGAAATCCCTTACAGTCCAAACAAAATCTGGAAAGAAACTCACAAACTCAGTAGAATCTTCTACTTCATCAGCTCTGGAGGAGGATTTTGCTCTGATTAACTCTGTTAGTTCAGTCACATAGCTAGAAACTTAGTTAAGGAAGGAGTTGCAGCCTACATAATAACTTTCAGAATATTTAAAAACACATTTTATAAACATTAACTTCTGCCCTATTTCCCCACCTCTTCAACCATAACAACGGGTCACAGAAAAGAAGAAACAGTCTCAGTTGCCATTCCCATAAACTCAGTAAAACAATGTGGTTTAGTTTTTGGAAGGATACTACAGTTGCTCCAGGGCCTGGTGGTCAATGGTCTTCATGCTGTTGTAGACAAAGGTGCTGCTCAGGAGCATGGCCAGTATGAAGATCCATGAGTCATTCTTTGGGTCACTCTAGAGTGTAAATTAGAGTAAGGGACCTGTGAATCTACTCTTCATTCATTCATTCAGTTGTTTATTCACTAGCCCTGGTAGCATAGTAGTTAATGCACTCACCTGTAACCGAAAGATCGGTGGTTGAAACCACCAGTGGCTCCACAGGACAAAGACATGGCTATCTGCTTCCATAGAGATTTACAGCCTTGGAAACCATATGGGAATGCTGTGAGTCAGAATCGAGTGCACAGCAATGGGCTTGTATTTTTTTTTTTTTTTAACTTGCTGAATAATATGTATAAGGACACAAGTTTTGAAGACAATGTTAAATTTGAACCTCTTTTTTTGTGTGTTTACAGGGACTCAGGGTGTAAGGTTTTTTAGTAATTAAAAGAAGTGAATGACACTGTCAATATGAGTAATATATTTAATGCAGGTTGTAGAACTGAGTAGGCTTGCAGTAATAAGTGGGAAATTATTCCTTGCATAAATTTTATCCATCATGGGCTATTTCATTAAATTCAGTAAGTATTCATTGAGCATCTACGAAATGCCTGGCACTGCATGCATTCATTTGGTTGTGTGGATGCAAAGTTCCATAAGACAGTCTCTGCCCTCAAGAAGATGACAGTGTGGATGGTCAGATACATATGCAAACATAATAGCAACTAAAATAATGATCTCTTTCAAGAGTGGAACCAAAAGCTATAATCTAAAAGAAAAAGTAGTAAGTGAAGTAAACTGAAACAAGTACCCAGTGTGTTCAGAGCATGAAGAGACTGTCTTACTGTGAAATGATGGCAGTAGGTTGAAAATAGATTAAAGAGTTGACAGAATATCAAAGAAATCGTGCTGGTGGAAGGACTAACGTAAACTAAGTCAGAATTAGAAATTGTGATTCTATAACTGTATTTTAGAGTTATTTCATTTAACTGAATCTGTGGGTAGGTGGGTAGGAGTGGAAGATAAGGTTGGAAATGAGACCCAAGGTAAGACAAGAAGGTCCTTGAAGGCCAGGCTAATAGAATTAGATATTACCCAAGTCACATCATGAGTTCTAATGTCCTGTATGATATTTCTGCGGCAATTAGTCATTTAATGTTTGCCAGGTTTTGGTTCCTTAGATAATTACAATTTAGATAAAATGAAATAAGTTTAGAGTATATCCTAGTTGTACTTTGGTGATTATTGAGAATTTTAAAACTGAATTTTCAAATTCAGAATTTGTAAACTTCTCACCCCTACACCACAACCCCCCACCCCACCTTTTTTTTGTTGTTGCAGTAATGGAAAACAAGTATCTACTGCTGCTACTTTCAATTTAGACACAGACTAATAGAATATGAGACAAAACTATTGATCGCACCAGATCCTACAAGATAATCTACCTAAAATAATCTCATTTACAATGTTTTTCATGGGTGAAGCTCATGCTTTTATAGAAGTCAGTTAAAAATTCAACTCAAAATCCCAGAAACTGAGACTGAAACCTTTGTGCATGTTCCCGGTGTAGCTCATGCTATTCTGAAGGTGATTTAAGTAAATTGCTTCACTGATACCTTATTTACATGTCTTCTACTTCCAATCTCGTTATCTCCACACTTTAACTGGTAGCTCACACTGACCTATTGGGTTTCAGTTTAATTGCCATTTTCTCCTGGAAGCTTTCTCTAGCCTGTTTGACTGAGCTAGGTGCCCGCTTTTGTGCATCCATGGCACATTGTGCTAATCAAATGGTGTACCTGTTGTCTCCCAAATAGGTCCTAGGCCTTTACCTTGTTCACTGCTTTGTCTGTAGTACTTAGCACAGAGCCCTGGAATTCAGCTGTTCAATAAGTATCTGATAAATGGCATCATTCACCTTTGTGTTACAAATAAAATTTATCCCTAATATACCAAAATGTTTGAACTTACCAAAGAAATAAGTTCAAGGAAACAGAATTTAATGTCACTATCTATAATTTGGTTGGAGCTCTGATGGTGCAATGGTTAAGCTGCTAACCAAAACGTTGTCGATTCAAACTCACCCAGCAACTCCTTGGAAGAAAGACCTGGTGACCTGCTGCCATAAACATTACAGCCTAGAAAGCCCTATGGGGCAGTTCTACTCTGTCAGATTGGGTCACCAAGAGTCAAAAATGGACTTGATGGCCCCTAACAAAAACATCTATAATTTGGATTTTCAGTTTGCAAGAATATGTCACAAAAGTTAATTAAGATGGTGAATTAAAATGTTTAAGTAGATAATCAAATGAAAAGAAGATTTTTCCATGATATTCTGCCTTACCTTTTTCACATTGCCCAGGCCTTCAACATCCAGCAGGACCAGTGTGTGATTAGGCTTGGAAGGGTGAGGTATACACCACATCCAGATGCCTTTGGTTACAGACCTCACTGTGGAGCCCAGACAGAAGCCTGCAATGTAAGTGGAGAAAACAACATATGATGACAGTAGATAGTCCAGGCTCCTTAGGGACTATATTAATTAAACTTGTAGGACTGCCATTGCCTGCCATAGAGAGGGATTGCTTCCATTTCAGGAAGGATAGCCATCAAAGTATTATACATATTAAGGACTTTTGCAAGAAACACTTTGTGTCCCCTATTCATTTCATTCTTTTAAAAGCTCAAACTACATCACGTTACATAATTAATATAATATCTATTAATGTGTGTATTTTTATCTGACATTCAAGATGAACAAAACAGCATGAAATTTATAAGTAGAATCAGAGAGACAGCTGAGATGAGAGCTCTGTGTTTCCTGTTCATCTTTACATAACACTTCCTTTTCCTTATTTCTACTACCTGTCTGTCCCCTTGTTGCACTGAGGTAACTTGTTGTTGTTATGATGCTAGAAGTTATGCCACTGGTATTTCAAATACCAGCAGGGTCATCCATGGTGGTCAGGTTTCAGTGGAGCTTCTAGACTAAGACAGACTAGAAAGAAAGGCCTGGTAATCTACTTCCAAAAATCAGCAAATAAAAACATTATGGATGACAACAGAACATTGTCCAACTTGCTTGCTTTGGACAGGTCATTAAGAGAAATCAATTGCTTGAGGAAGACATCATGCTTGGTGGAGTAGGTGCCAACAGGATGAAGGAGACCCTCGATAAGATGAATTGGCACAATAGTCCCAAAGATAAGCTTGAACATGCTGATGACTGTGAGGATGAAGCAGGACTAGGCAATGTTTTCGTCTCTTGTACATAAAGTATCCATGAGATGAAGTTGATTCGATGGAAATGATCTCTCTCTCTCTCCCTATCTACCTATCTGTCTATCTCTTTCCTTATTTGGGTTCCAAATTAATAGAAAACCTCTTAAAAGGAGAAGACACCAACATGGGAAGAAGTACAGTGACTGGTTTCTCTAGTCCAGTTCTGCTGAAACAGGCTTCCAGTAGCAGAGTAGTGAGAACTGAACCCTGAAATATATTTGTGGAATCTGTAATTTGCACCCCTATGCATGCAGTTTAAGAGTCCTGATTTGTTAAGCAGCTGAAATCATTTAAGTGTTAAAAATGGCTAATAACAAAGTCAAATAAAATATTTAGGAAAATCAATGTGTATTGGAATATAAGAGTAATTAGTCGTTGACATTCTGGAGTAGTTAGGAGGCATCTAGAATTTTAGAACTGGGAAGTTCTGAAGCCATCATTTAGTACCAACTCACTCATTTTGTGGATGATGCAAGGGAAACTCAGAAACTGTCACTGGTTAGCACAGCTAGTTAGTCGTACAACCTGCACTAACAAAGGCCCTCTGACTCAGCCTGGGTCTTTGTGGGTTACACTGACCTTGTCCACAGGTCAACAGTCTGATGGAACGGGGGTGGCCAATCAAGGCACAAGTAGTAGAAAACGAAATGAAAGAGATATAATAAATCTTGGAGGGTAAATGAATGAGATACCTGGGAAGAAGGAGGAAATAATGAACACTCCAAGGTTTCATATCTTGGTGACAAATAGCTATAATTTCCAGCATGGAAGAGAAGATTTTGATATACCAGTTCTCTTTATTCATCTCCCCTTTCCCTTTATCAGATTCACTTTACTGTTCTTCATACTGACCTGTGCCTCAGGATTTTGACTATTATGGCCTATGTCACCAGAGCTTCTTTGTGTTCCAACTTCTGGTAGACTTCAAC